GGTTTGAAGGATCACCTCTATTAAGTTAGTCTGATTCAGTTTTGAGTATGAGGCAAAAGTGGGTTTGAGGTGGGTTGTAAAGTAAGTTATATGGTGAGATCGCAAAATTGGGTGCAAGAAGTGAAAAGGTTTGCAGTCGGCCACCCTTTCGATGTCCATCACAGACCAGCAGAGTTTATTCCTTCACTTTCTGCTGAGACCGATTGATGACTTGTTTTGAGCCAACTTTTTTTACGAAATGAAAACTCGAGTCACACTAAACACGTACAAGCACTCGAACATCGAGGTACTAGAGCATATTTCCAGTTATCTATACTTTTATATTTTCAATTGTGAATATTTACAGCTTGTAAAGTGTGAAAATGAGGTCCAGCCCCGACGCTGGCATGTGATCGGTATTCGTCGGAATTGAACTGACTGCCTCCGTCGATCACTTCAACTTGAAGTTTGAGCAACACCGAAACATCTACAGATCAACTGGAATCAGCTGACGTTAGAGTTTTGTTCCCTCCACAAACCGTTGCTGGAGGAACCAGGTTTTTCAGACGCTTTGTAGAACGAGCGCTTCCTCGTTACGAGAGCATCTTCACACGCCATGGCGCACTCGATTTGTATGCATGCCTGTGTGTGTATGTGTGTTTGTGTGTGTGTTGTTGTTGTGGTTGTTGTAGTAGATGTTTTGGAACTTTTATGTGTGTTTATGTGTGCAAATTGTCTACTGTGCCCGTATGTGTTGTTTACATTCGTGCGGCGAATAAAAATGAGCAGAAAAGGTCAACGCCTGGCTTATTCATTTCCTTCATCTCGAGGCTCGTTGAACCGTTAACACGAAAGTGACCCGCCCACCGTACATACAAGAGGCACCAACAGGCCGTCTCCAAAGCGTGATGCATTATTGTGCAACTGCAATTACCTTCCTGCCGGACTGACGATTTGGAAGAGGCGGGTGCCTGTGCAAGCTCACATCTTTCACACACACACACACAAACATACATACATACAGACAGACTATCGGATGTGTGTAGACAGGCTGTGACGACTTGTAGGTCCCGGCGTGTGTTCGAGGGTCGGGCCAGTTTTAGACGAGCATACAAGACTGGAGGCAACGGGGTCGCCGATAATTGGAGCTTCACATGGCCCTCTGAACCCCTTCAAACCCCTTCGAACCCCTTCGAACCCCTTCGAGCCCCTCCGGAGGCCGGCCGGTTGCAAT